TGCCATCAATTTCTTGAGAAAGAGGTGGACTGCATGGTCTTGATAATCTCTTACAAGACCAAAGAACTGGATCTGACAAAAGAAAAAAAAAGACACTTATTAGAGATCTCAGAAGAAACCTCTCAGAATGTACTACAATCAATGCACATTAGTGAGTGAATAACAGTATCCTTGCAAGTCCTCTAGATTAGCAATAGTAACCATGATAATGATAATAATAAGCATTTACCTTGAGGAAAACAGCCTGGCTCCAGTGGAAGGCACATCCCTTCAGCTTCACACCAAGTAAAACCCGACTTCCATGTTGCTGCCTCGAAGTCGAGCGCCACTCTCTTTGACTTGTTCTTCCGTTGGCAGTATTTCAATGACTCTCTCCATTACCTAAAAGCAAAAATGATGCCAATCTTTGTACATTACATCTCCAAGAAGGAAATCATCTAGTATGTGTTCTGCAATCTCAAAGTCAAAGTCGTTTGGATATTTAGGTCTACTTTTTTGACAGCCCTTGTTGGCAGTCCAGGCCATGTAGTCCACTTTGGGAAGAGCACTACAGGGTCCCTGGTCCATGTTCTCCAACATGACCTTATCAAGATAAGTTAAAGTTAGATAAGTTTTGAACTTATCTAAGATAGGGGGGGCATGAGATGGAATGAGATAAGATGAAAGTAATATAATACCTCTATAATAATTACTGATGCAGATGTAAACACATCTTCCATCGCACGTTTGTTGACTTCCTTGCTAATTTTAGCTGCCATTAAAAATCCAGTTTTTGGTTCATGGTCGTGGTTTATAGGGCCAATCACAAATTCAGCACCACATTGCTTGACATAAGCTTTGCATGAAGCGACCTATATAACAACAATTATTTCATAAAATCCATTTTTTGATTCTACTTTATTTGGAATACCGGTCGACAGGTATACCACAGTTTATATACTATCAATGATCTTGTAGTGTGACCTTCAAGAATGTTCTAGAAGTAGCTGTGTCATGCTGAGTCATCCCTGAATCGATATATAAATAGAATCTATTATGATGTTGCGGAACGTTCTAGATCCTCAACTTTACCTATAAAAGCCGAGCTTGTAACTAGATCTAGCGAGTAGTTTAGTTGCTGGTATAGCCCGTCAGATATCAATAAAGGTGTATGCTTCAGAATACAAGACGTCCACACTTCAGATCTAATAATACCATTTATGAAATTCGAAACTTAAAGACATGTCAAGAGAACTGAAATACATTGCAAACATCATCTTATTAAGTATCTTATTTATAGGAGATACTTACCTTTCCTCTTTTAGTGCAATGCCAGTTAATACCACTTTTGCCAGAATACTTATTTGTGTAGCTGTACTCATGGCTGTTCACAAGGATGTCACCGACCCTTTTAGAGGCATCTTGAACCACTTCAAAGGATTGGGGCTCGAATGTTGGCTGACAGCCCTCAGGTGATGGATCTTCAAGGATTACTTATGAAAAAGATAGAATGGATAGAATTAGGATATCATTGTATTATATAAGAACATATTTAATTAAGTTATCACTTGTTAAAATAACATAATTGCAGTTATAAGTTATTCAGTCCTCATATAACAATATATCTGGTGCATTTAATCGCTAATATCCCTCAATGCCATATTACTTAAAAATGTATGGAGTTGAAATAGATTTACCCACCCATAGATCTGATGCTGTCTTCCATGCTGACGTCCATTGGCTCCTCTGGTGTTTCTGTGACAAAGAAAATCAGCAATTTAATTAAAGAGACCAGTAAACTACTAATATTGCAAAAAAGGAAAAAAAAAAAGGAAAACATAGCTCAGGACATTATGAGAAGGAAATGTGTCAGTGTTATGTAAACTGCCACTATAATACACTTAACATCAAAATCAGCTGGAGTTGCAGGAGGATAAGCAGAATTGTCTGTGACTGGAACTGTTAAACCTGTGCATTAAAACAAAATGCAAACTAAATCAACAACAGTGAAGGTAATAGACGCTTAACAACAAGCCTAATATTCCCATTTCTTTCGCGCGAATTAAACAGCAAGTCTTTATTTTTGTCACTATTTAATAAAATATATTACGTTACAACTTAATTTTAAAAAAATGTTATATCTTTGACGAAAAGACTTGATATTGGACGAATGGACCTTAGACTTTAGACGAAAAGACTCTTGGACGAAAAGAACGGATATTGAACAGATGATGTCCTGAACTCACAGATTACGACAAGGGACAGTAAGAAAATTCCTGAACTAAAAGGAGAAACAGTTGCTACCGGGAAGGCCGTCAATAGGAATACGGTAGCGAGTAAAAGTACTGCTAAAAATGTGGTGACTTGCTCGAGTGTGATGTCCACAGGGCAATCCTCTCGTGTTTTGTAAGGTTTGAAGGAACTGAAGGACCTTCAACAACAGTCGCCATCTTCTATGAATGACATGATTTCAACTATGAAATCTGCATTGAAAACTTTCACTTGAAATAAAACTTCTCGTAAGAGGAAAAGAGACGAAATGAGTGATTCGGACCAGGAAAGCGACGAGGAATCCACAACTGAAACGGGGGAAAAACCGCTCGATATTTCCAGGGAAAGTTAAGGAACTTCTAAATGCGAGCGACCCTTCAAGAAAGGTAACCGGTGAATGCTAAATTAGCTTTGCTTGTTGACAAGATGGTAGTCAAAGTGCTCTGTGAGCAAACTCGTGAATTGACACATGATTTTTTGGATTATGTTTAATGTTATCTGGTTTAGGGAATTTTGTGGTTGATTGTCATATCTAGAGTACGAGCAGTAGTTCAAGGATTGTAAATTACAATTTTATGAAAAACGAAGGTTGTTCTGTTATTTCATTGTGAATCCTTGCATGCCTGCCATTCGCTGGCGCCGCTTGTTGAAACCAAAACGAAAAAAAAAACTCCTTTAAGATTATCATTGGCTTCTTTGTCACCCCACTACTATTCTTAGCAACAAAGGTCACCATTTCGTTTGTTTTTTGCTCGCCAAAAACTATCAAATGCACTCAAAAGCCTAAAATCGAAAAAAAGTTTACAGGAATCGACCAATCGAGCGAGCGAGCGAGTGCCATTCCCCACATCGTATCTACAACTCGCTCTTGTGCATGCGCAATTCGCGAGTTAAAAACCAGTCTCGCTGAGGACAAAACAAAAAAAAGCACGAAAAGTATAACAGACCAGAAAACTGTGAAAATTTGATAAACACAAGAGTGAATCCAGATTTCTGGAGTAACATTAGAGCAAATACCAGGTCCAGTCAAGTCAACTCTTCTGAAGAATATGATCCCTATTTTCAAAATATCTGATAAATTGCTGGAGTTAAAATCAAACTCCAAAGCAGTGTTTAAAGGGGATATCTCAGATTTTCTTCAGCCCTCATCAGATTCTCTAGCTCTTTTGGGACACTCTATAATTGAGGTCAATATCAAGCATCATGAGCTTATACAACCTGACTTAAATGATAAATTCAAGCAACTTTGCAGTGCTCAAACTCCTGTGACTAAAATGCTATTTGGAGATGACTTATCAAAGTCAGTGACTGAAATTTCTGAAACAAAGAAAGTGGGTGTCAAAGTTTCATCCAAACAGACAGGATATCACCACAAGCAGCAAGGGAGATCAAATTTCTCTTATTGCCAGAACCACCAGAATCAGAAGCCTTTTTAATGGAAAACTTAGGGCTGGGGAGAGATCTTCTCTAGACCCCAAATGGAAGGGAAGACGCAAACAACAACAATAACTGCTGCTAAGCCTTAACCTAAACCTAAATTTGCAGGTGAGTCTTAATTATGATAATGATCATGCCAATGCATATAGCATATCATTTGTTGCTGGTATATTAAAACATTTTCTACCTGTATGACAAACTATAACCTCTGACTATTTTATACTTAGTTTTGTAAAGGGGTCAAAATTGAGTATTGTAACTATCCCCAGCAGACCATCATTCCTAGAGAATACAATTTCAATTTAACTAAGGCACTTATTATTGACAATCAAATTGCAAAGTTTTTAGAAACAGGATTTATTGAGAAAACAACACATTCTGAAGAATACATATCCAACATTTTTATTTGGCTGAAGAAAGATGGCTCATATCAACTGATTCTCAGTCTGAAATATCTAAATCAATCTGTGCAATATCACCATTTCAAAAAAGAAAAACTAAGAAGTGCCATCACTCTAATGAGCCCTAACTGTTACATGGCTAACATAGATTTAAATGATGCCTACTATTCTGGGTCTATAGACCCAAATCATAGAAAATATCTTTGGTTCAAATAGAAGAACCACTTTTTTCAGTTTACTTGTCTTCCCAATGGATTGAGTAGTGCTCTGAGAATATTCACAAAATTAATGAAGCCAGCATACTCAACCTTGCACTCCAAAGGTTTTGAGAATGTGGGCTATATAGATGATACTTATCTCAAAGGGAACACTTTTCAGGATTGTGATGCAAACAATCAAGCTATTCACAAATTTGGGCCTTACACTTAACAGAGAAAAATCAGTTCTTGTTCCTAGTCAGTATATTAATCTTATGGGTTTCACACTAAACTCTGTTGAAATGAAAGTTTCTCTGACACCCACAAAAGCCACAAAGATCAAATTAAAAGCAGTTAGCTTGTACCATAACCTCTCTCCCACCATTTAGACTGTCTCTGAGGTGATTGGTCTTATGGTAGCAAGCTTCCCTGGGGTACGGTATGGTCCCCTATATTATAGTCAACTTGAACTAGAGACAAGGTTAAAACCTTAAAACAAAATAAAGGCAATTTTAAAGCCATCATGACTCTTTCAGACATGGCAAGATCTGATCTTCTATGGTGGACTGAAAATATCACCACCTCATATAACACTGCAACCCATGGTACACCCCAAGTAACAATTCATTCAGATGCCTTTCTGACTGGCAGGGAGGAGTTCTTAATTCCATATCAACTAGGGGTCAGTGGTCTGAGGATCAATCTAAACATTATATAAATTATCTTGGAATTTTAGCTTGTTTTAGATTTTTTATTGTCAAATTAATAACTCGAAAAGCCTTCAGCTAAAATTTGACTTGTCATAAAAAAGCTTATACTTTCTTGATTTGATATCTCTATTAGCAATAAAACCAGAAAGCATTTGCTTTTGTGTTATTAATTATATATATACCTGACTTGTTAAAGTACATTGTTGTGAAATGATGTACTTAGCAATAATTAATCTAAATAGACAAAACTGTATTAATGTTTAAATTGTTCCCTGGACCACCTGGACATCTGGAGCAGCTCACAATGCATTTTGGGAGTGGTAAGGATGCTTGCTTCATGGTGGCTATGGCTGTACCTGTCCTTGAATTTACCCTGTTGGTTGAAGTGGATGTTCCATACATTGTCTGTTATTTTCTTTCAGGAAACTTTAGTCTGCAAGAAGAAAAGTTTTTTACAAAAGAATCCTTTCCTATAACATGTGTAACTGTTGATTAAGTTTGCAATATTACTGGTATTTTTTATCATAACAGAATTTTCTCAAAAATTACTTGACATCGGATTCTCATACAAATGCTGCATGGTCACACCTGCCCACCAACCCATCAAGTTGGTGTTGAAAACTGCATTAAGGTCTATTGAATAAAGTTAAACTACTGAGTTTCACTCTATGACTTACAGCTACAAAATATGGGGCTTTCTATGATTATGTACTAAACAACAACAACAACAAAAAGCTCTCTTGGCTCATTTGCATGAAGACACCTGATATAATACAATAAATGTCTTGTTTTTGTATCCTGAGTCAGTACAGTTAGAATCTATATTTAGATCTTAATTATTATCATTTAAATCCAACTAAATGTAATTCTTTTATTACTTTTCCACTGACTGCCAAACCAGCAAGCCTTGAGGCATTAAACAGAGAGGACTTTAAAAAAGGCCCTGTAATGTGTACATGCAGCTGCTTTGGGGGAGGGGAGTGATAAAGTTTCAAATTTGTTTAAGAGTATGTAACACAATAACAATAATGACGATAATGATAATAATAATGACAATAATAATAATAATAATGACAATAATAATAATAATAATAAATTTTCTCCATCCTTTGCTGCAAACACATCTGACCTATAGTAATCAGTGGAACATATCAGAATAGCCTTTTTATTAATGCAAGGCCTCGGTGGTCCACAGTTATGATATGGAAATAATTTTCTCTTGTGTGAGGCATCAGTCAATTTAGGAATTACCAAGAGTAAAATTTCAAGTCAATATGGTCCAGAAACTATTAATTTTTTTTTAGAGGGAAGGGCTGGGGGGGAGGGGTAGAAATTATTAGGTTTGCGTACTATTTTCACTCTGCAGCCTGAGCACTCATATACGCACACTTCAAATGGATGCGCAACATAACAGCGACAAAAAATAATCGAGCAAATAACTAGGACGTGCAAAGCTTCCAGGGATAATATAAATTTACTGCTCTAAACAGTGAAAAGGTCTTAAAGATTTTACTCTTAGCTTCTTTTAAGGTACAACTTCCTATGACCTTCTGACGAGATTATCAAGTTGTCAAATACGTATTTTAATATGACTGATGCCAATTGTCTCATAAAGTCGAAATAAGCTGAATGTCAAGAATAAATAAGTGCTACACTTAAATAAATAACTAATTAACTACATTTATGACAAATTTTGTAGTTCATTAAAATAAGGTACTTGGTTAGATAACATGGTTCAACGAAAGGTTAATGTTGTTTGCCTGCTGGGATTTGGTCTTCAAGACCAATGTCAACGTTACCGCTATTTTGACGCGCTAAAATTACATTTAATAAATTTTCAAGACCTGTTCTCGATGAGGTGCACTTCTTCACTTTGGTTCCATTTGACCACGAGTAGTGTTTAGAATTAGCAAAGAAAGCGTATTTTAGCCAAAGGCAGAAGATTCGTATATGAACGGAGCTCAGCGAGATAAGGTATTATTCTTTCTCGCGAAAATTAAAAAAAAAAGTTAATAGATAAGTTCCCATTTGTTTTTTCCCGAACAAAAATGTTCCCTTCCCTGTCCCCTCTCCAATGGCACTTCAACCAGTCGGGAGAGGTGAGTGAAGAATATTGTCCATATGTCATCAGAAGGCTTGGTTACCTAATTGAGCCTGGTGTCTAAACTCCTTCAGAAAGTGATCCCAAAAAATATTTTTGCGCACATAGGATCCCTGTACCGAATGATGACGAAATAGAATTGAGAATTAAACGAGACTTACCTCTAATTTGAAATATGATAGCAATTCTATTGAGTCATCATGAGGTCCTAGGGATCTAATGCCCACCCTTATTTGCGTATGAAATAAACCCACCCAATTTAAAGTGTGCAATTCATTGTTCGCCTACAAAGTTGATTTCGGGGATTGGATTGCGCAATCTCATGTGATCTCCAGCACCTCATGATGACTCAATAGAATTACCATCAAACTTCAAGTTACAGGTAAGTCTCGTTTAATTCTCAATTTCGTAATTTCAATTCTTTGGTCTGTGAATTGTAAATTTAAGATTCGATGTGTTTAGAGGAGCAAGTGGTACTCGGTATCGTTAATCTATTCGTCAGCTTGCAAATTATAATTTTTGCCTTTCTTAGACACATAGCTGAAAGGGAGGGAACGTTGATGCTTTCAATTTGTTTAGAAACGAGACTGTAAACTGCAAAAAAATTTGCCAAAGAAATTACGAGAATGTGAGACGAAAGGCGGAAATAAAATGCAATTTGCCGTTGCTGGTTTAACAAGCAACGAAAAGCCACATCATAATGTGTTTATGTTGCCGACTTTTCATTAATTGTTTTCTCTTTCCGAAATGATAACCTTGAAAAGGCGACCATTTTCATTGATCCTAGGTTAAACCCCATAGGGGAAATACTGTAAGTTTTGACCTTCGAAAAATCAGTCATTTTTAACCCAGGCTGTAAATTCAAAAATTGAATAAATGATCCTATTTAACAAAGAAATCATTTGTTGATTCTTCCACTACATAAATATCAAATAGATATAGGCTGACTTCCTATTGGGCTTTTAAAAAGAAAAGTAAATTTGTCCCCATTCAGGCCTCTCGTTTTCAGTTTTCATTCTGATGAAAAGGAGTTTTACAATTATTTTGTGAAATGACGCTAATTTCATTTCGTTAGTTTTGTTTAATAAAGTGTTCTGACCACTGAAAAATATGTTGCTATGAAGTTTGGCCTTGCCTTTTGGGGTGAAAGAGCTCAAACACAAAAAGTAGGGAGCATCATTGCACCTTAAGTAATTATATGCCTTCAGGGGTCTTCTCCACGTCATTAACTTCATAAACGTGCTCTAGCTCAAAATCAAAAGATAGGTACTTTGTAAAAGATGACGCACATGTTTTGCATTGTTGACCGGAGCCGTTGGCTCAGTAACCTGCCCACACGACCACTTAATCAATGGCCCAGACCTGTCACTTCAAAGGACTTGAATGGGTGCGGAATACAAAAATTATCTTAATGATAATTACACAGTATTAATTCGATGGTTCAGATCACTTTATCTGTCCGTTAATTCTTTGTATTCTACCAATGAGACAAATAAATGAAAGCTGCAAATATAGACACCCAGTCGCAGCGATCTAAGAAGTGAGCAATTAAGTTATAATTGCACTGCATTTGTCATCGGGCAAAATGTCAAAACTGATATACGTCGAAACCTACATTTTCAAATTTTTTTCAAAAGATTAATTATTTAGCTAGAGATCTTTGGACGAAGTGTTAAACTTATTAGTTCATTGCAGCTTTCACTGTATCTTACCACATCGAAGTAGTTTTGCAATGATGTAAAGGAAAATGTTCACAAAAACGTTGTTTTTCCACTCTTTTACACCAAGTTTAAGACTTCCAACGTGTCGCAGAAAAAAAGAAACACTGCACGATAGGTGTTCAAGACGCCCCTGATTATGCAGAAACCGGGAGACAAGTATATTGCAAAACTGAGAAATTAACATTTATCCCCAAACCCAGGGTAAACGAATTAAATTATAACCTGAATCTTACTGCAATATTAAAATCTTGTGACATCAAACTGATCCTACCTGTTGAAAAAATAAGAAATAACAACGAAAGCCTGAGGCTATTCGGTAAAACTTATACATAACTACATAGAAAATAACATAGAATATAGCGATACGATGGCCATTAAAGCACCGTAATGTCGAATGGATCTCTTAAGAACAAACAGAAGTGTAAGTAAACGCAAATTGAAACAGTGAGACTCGTTTTGAGATAAAGAACAAATTATTGGGAACAAAGGAAAAGGTCCATCTGCGACCACATTAAACCTAAAGTAGTTAAAGATATTTGAAAGTGACGAACAGTGACGCTTTTAATTTCAAGTCCAATGTTTACATCCTAAGTGATTTGAAGAATTGAAAAGGCATAGTGTTAGTGAGAAATTTTAGATAAAAAAATGTCACTCAAGTGAAATTGGAGGGCTTGGGTCAAACTGGAAATAAGAAATAACAAATTCGCACTTTGTTTCCGTCAAGATTATTCAATTACACGGTTTGCAACTATAAACAGTTCTTCTTAAGTAGTTTTGGTCACCTTAAATCCTAAAATGAAGTGAACTGGACTGTATTCAAATAAAATCATTATTTCTAGCGTATTGAAGTGTGCTTTTGTGTACTATTTTTGTTTAAGAAACAGTCGTTCAATCATACTCCTCTGTGTGCAACTATTGATCGTACTGCTCTTTTGTTTGTCAAAATGAGAAATAATGAAAATAACTTTGTCATACAGAGCTCTTTAATTTGTTTTAAACATATCTCGTAGCTTTTAAACGATTGTGGAAGAAATAGCGTTTTTTGCGGCCCGGTTCAGTTGCCTAGTCACCGTATAACATAAATATGTTCGAAAATGATTGCTTGCGTTCAAAGGTTAGGTGCGGTTATCAAAACGGATCTTCCTGTTTATGAAAACTATGGATTTTTGTGTTCCCGTGCCTGGTAAATATATGTTGATTTTTATTTTGCATGTTTGATAGTTATCTGAGCAACAACACTACCCTTATGAATCGCCAGTTTCTGAGTATGTAATGTTATTTAAGTTGAGTTTGAGGTTTTTCTTAACAATTGACAGGACTAACTTATTGCAATTAAACGTAGCTTAGGCGTTAATCAATCCTTCCAAACCTATTGTCTTCTCGTGAAACCTCCGCAAACAGTAGATTCAAGCATCATGGAACTGAACTCACTTATTTAAAAAAATTGATCATCCCGTGATAACTTGATACCTTTTACTTTAGTCACGAAACCTTAAAGTGGTTTAGACCAAGTAACAGTCTACACGCATGGATCAAGACCTTAGTTTAACTCAGTGTGGCAAGTTGTCCGTATCAAGAGTAAGACAACTGAAATTTGAAGTATCTTAATTAGGTCCAGGGAGAGTAAATCAACTCGGCGGTATTTACATCAACGGAAAGCCCCTACCCAATGAAGTCCGAGAAGAAATCGTTGAATTGGCGCGACGCGGAGTTCGTCCTTGCGACATTAGTCGAAGGCTAAAAATTACCCATGGTTGTATCAGCAAGCTGCTATCAAAATATCAGAAAACGGGATCAATTAATGCTGGAGGTGCTAATGTCGGAAGGCCAAGAGTGATAACTCTCCGAATGGAGCAGAAGATAGAGCAGTACAGGCGAGAACAACCAGGAATTTTCTCCTGGGAGCTGCGTGATCGCCTATTGCGTGAAAACGTGTGCAATAGGGAGAATCTACCTTCGCTAAGTTCAATTAGCCGCCTTATCAAGCACAAGATGATCAATCTAGTCTCTAACAGAAAACGAGAATGCAGTGCGAATGAGGGCGAGTTTGCTGCTGTCGACACCAACACTTCCCATTCAAATGGTGAATCGTTAAATCAAAGAACGGAAGGGCATGCACGTAAGCAAGGTAAGGGAACAGTGATCACTTCTACTTACCGATGTTGTAACCAGCCTGTGTAACAATGCTTTCCATTTCCTCTTGACTAAGTGAGAGTTGCATATGGTTATGAGGCGTGAAGGAGCTACAAATCACAAGCCGCGTCGTAAAAAATCCTCTTCCCCTCATATCAAGATATTTTAAATTTCCTGATATTAATCCTTTAGCTCTTATTTTTTTCGTCAAGATATTATAAATTTATAATCCAATTTTTAATCGCCTGTCTTATATCAATACCCATGCCAACCAAAAACTTGAGATTTGGAGTATAACTAAATATTGAATAAAACTGATATTTCATTTTTCGACGAACTTATCTGTCTATGAAATAAAGAATTTCTGATTCCACGCAGAATCGTATAACCTAACCTCGAAGCGTCTAAATTCCTCCTTCTAAAATATTTAAGATGGTAGGCGCGTTCTAATTCAGATGAGATTATCGAGAGAGTATTCAAATATGATTGTGACGTAATGCTTCGTGTGTTCCCTGGCAGAATTTAAAAAAATCAAACACTTTTGAAAAACGTGTAAAGTAATTTCAAATGCAGATGTGAAGGAGATTTAGAAAAGTCACCCAGTTTGATTCTTAGTTAAGTTGTCTCCCCCCGCCCCCAACATTGAGCCCAGTGAAAAAAAAATCAAAAGAAAGAAAAATCACAGCGCTTTGACTGCCTCGATGATCATGAGCTTAAGGAGTTCTTCTAAGGAGCTCATGCGAAGATGATATAATATGAGAAAACTAGGTAATAAAAGTATAAAGGGCCCCTTGAATTTTGCCTTTAAGAAATACAGTAAAAGTTTATGTAAGACATATTATACTGAAAAGTGAGCGCGAAAATCACTCCAAGCTCTGTGCTACAGACAGTAAATATTTTGAATCAGACTTTGGACGTTACGCCGCCCCACTTTACCTGTTAAATTTTCTCGAAGTATATTTTTCTGGTACGTTCTCGGTGTAAAAATTTACCATTACATTGGTAGCGATAGTCGTGGACTTCTCTTTATTCAGAATGGTATTTCAAACTAAATCACCATATCATGACACCCTCTGCCTGTAGGAATGGAAATTCCCTCGTCCATTATCGCAGCTGCTCCACTAGGTGTGCCGCAGTGTTCTCTCACATATTCCAAAATCTACAAACCACATAAGCTGCCATAAGTCTTCTAAGGGGACCAGCAGATCCCTAGCTTGTGCAGTGATTCACATGAAACGATAAGTGATTCAACTTCTCAACCATGTTAGCCAGATGCCACATCGGGCAAGTTCATTTCACTTTCAAATTGGTCGAGCGCAGTGACATTCGTTTTCAGCCAAAATAAATTCCTCGCTTTAAGTTCTTTCCCTACAGAAAACTTTTGGTGCATTTGTGCAAGGTTCGGTCCATAAAAAGTCTGAAAAATTCGAACCACGTTTGAAGTGGGCCTTACTTAGAGTTTTCTGGAGTTATACATGCAAAGGCTGTGAAAGTGAAATAGCTAATCTGAGTTGAATATTACTTTAAAGGGATTTGCTTTCTGACTGTTGTTTGAGAGAATGTTTAAGGTTATATCAAATTAATTCAAAGATTATGTTCTGCCGAATAAGTAAACAGTAACTTTGCCACCGACTTGATTAAAATAAACAATTGGAGACTTGGGGATGGAAGCTGAAAATTTGCACCTGGATTGAATATTTTTGCGAATTATTCATCATTGTTTCAAGTTTTTGACAGTAATCCGTCACTCATAATTTATTAAAAGTACGATTTTCTTTGCTCAGAAAAAATTGTTATGGGAATGAACAGGAATAACAGGAATGATGTGGTAATGTTATAATAATTAATAATCTGGGTATCTACTCTTTTTAACGTTTTCTACAGTTCGATTGCTGTAAATTAGATATATAAGTGATTTACTATTTGATACCATGGCTTAAGAAAATAATGGATACCCCATCAAAGCACACAAATTATCAAAAAAACCGTCATGATTAACAAAGGAGACAAGCTCGCTGTCTAGTCAGCCAAATGATAGAAATAACCATCGAGCCTGCGTTAGTCAAACTATGACAGAAAAACCTGATCCACCTTCGAAGTTTCGAAATTGTTTCCCATTAACTACTGTAACTTTTACCTCTATCAGGCGGTCATGGTCGTCCTTTAATAAGTCCCGACGGCCTTTCTGTATTGTTCTCCACCTGTATGGTGACTAAGAATAGTCTTTGAGATAAAATAAAATCCATCTTTATCTGCCAAAATCAATTTAAGTAGTATTTCGAGCGAGTCTTTGCAAACTATGTGGTCAATTACAGCAAAACAATATTCCTATTCTGTGGAACTTGGGTGAGGCTGTCAATCGGGTGACTGATTCGACTTTATATTAAATGACAGCTGACTGGCTTTGCCTGACATAGTGCTCTCTACAAATTCCAAAATTTGACCGAAGAAATTCAAGAAAAATTTTATCCAATTCAGAGGAATAACTACCAAAAATCCTATCAAAGAGCCATGTAAGTAAAAAACGGGTTGTGTTTGTGGCCGACTTATGGCCTCAAAACAGTCAGCGGGTTTTACTTTAATTTTTCTTCCTATTTATATTTTTTGTTGTTGTTGTTTTCGGAACAATCGGACCAGTATGAACGACTTCAAAGTATCTTTAAGACGAGAAAACTAAAAACTTCAAGCTGAAATGTCAGAACCATAGATTATATTTTTCACACAGAAATCGACAAAGGTGACAGTTCATATGACAAAATATCTATCCTAGAAGGAGAGACGCCATGTAACACGGAGTCATATCAGGAACAGTGATTATAGTACCTTGAAAAATTGTAAGTCTCACAAACCTTTTGTCCACAAGGATGTTGACTTAAAAATACCTTAAAGAAGTTTATAAGCAGCCTTCACCGCTAAAACAAAGAGGGCATCCAGTTAGTACTATAATGAAACACGTGGCAGGAGTGAAATTGTCCGATATAACGACATCATTAAAACAAATGGACTAAACTGCGGAACGTAAGTTACCTTGGTTATAAAATTCACCTATCATTAGGTAACTTGTCCAAAGTTTCGACAAAACCAACGCTTACCTTACTGGTTGCGATTGGGCCTCAACTTGAACAGATAGTGGTGGCAGAGCGCTTTCTGTACTGGATTTGCTGTCCCTTCTCTTCCTTAAAGATGATTCTTAACTGTCTTTGCATATCAAAATAAAACGCATTTATTCGAGTTTGTCGCAAACAAAGTTGCAATTTTACAGCACTTAGTTTACGGTACCATGAAAAAATGTCTTCACTCATTGTGTATTCAAGGAAATTTCAATCGAGAAATACACGCATGTTAAGAACTAAAATCTGAATACCCATATCATGAGAAAGATCACGTTGTAATCTTTTGCTCGGAGACAAGCCTTATTTCTTTGCCATAGGAGTGATTTAGATAAATTATTTTGAAAAATTGATGGCAATCATTTTAAACCAAAATATCTCTTAGACCAAAATGTCTCTTTCCCCCGTCACGTTTTCTGGGTGAACAATAAGACACCTAAAACGAATTATTATTATTTATTTATTCATTCAAAAAATTGTTATTTACTCACCTGCCTATGATCCAGAGGCACCTTCATTCTGGGCAACACCGGAGAAAATCTAAAAACTTTTCCGACGTAAGACCGCAACAACTGTGGAAACATGCGCAGTTTTTTTATTATCCCGGATATCTCACCTATAATGACGTCACATAGAAGTCTCTTCTCATTGAGGCAAGTCATTCACGCATAGTTCGACCTTGGTCCATCCGGCGAAAGAAGACAAAGCACATGATTCTTTTTGTCTACGCCGGGCTCTCTCTCTCCCTCTTGTGAGAAAGACTAACTGTTTGCATAGTGAAAATGAGGTTGTCGCAGTTGATCCTCTGACGCCACCTTTCACTTCCCCATTAAAATATCAGATTTTAAGTTTCTTATCCAAATTCACTTTTTTTTTCGAAGAAGGTTTTCAAAGAAATTCGTCGATTATAACAAAGCTTCTGATAATTCAACTTGTGAATAGTATTGAAGGATGCTCGGTCTTTTCACAGGCTTCAATCAAATCAACCTTAGAGGTTCAAATTTGGATAAGGATTGTATAATATCTGGCCGACAGCGCCGAAAGAGGGCAAAGTACACAAAAAATCAACTTCTAAAGCTGGAATTAGAATTTGAGAGGAACCCGTACCCTAATTCATGGGAACGCGAAACTTTGGCTCAGCAGCTTGGAATCCACGAGACAAGAATCCAGGTAAAAACTGAAGGAAAATCCTGTCTGGAATCAGGCGTAACAACGCTATGTTGGGAAGTAAATTCTGATTGGTTAATCTCGCGCTCTAATAAACTCTCAGGTCTCGGATATACATCTGGGCTATATCCAGGCTTCTGAAATCAATGAAATACTTTTTAGAGAAAGAGGTTGTTTAGTTAGATATAGATTAAAAAGAGTCATCTGGGATGTGACAGGGTTTGAACGATTGTTTCAGTTAAGAAAAGAAAAACAAAGGACAATTCTGTTTAAATGTTCACTCTTTCAACGAGGTAGGACTGTCATTACTTACCTAATAAGACATTTAAACATATTTGTCATCCTCCAGGTATGGTTCTCAAATCGCCGAGCGAAGGGAAGAAGAGAACGTTTTGGCGATGAGGGTAGTCAAAGGCAATCCATTTCAGCCCCAGTTTGCACATGTCACACATACCGCCAGCCGCTTCGCGCCCCGTGGGTGATGGAGACCAGTTTTCCAACATTTTTCTTTCCACCACCTGGATACTGGACCTAGTCAAAAACCATTGGTGCTCTTTTTAAGTCTTGGACTGCGAGCTTTTATTTATACAACGGGGAGCCGCGTTCCCATACCTCAAAAAAAAAAAAAAGGATTTGCGATGCCAGGATAGAATGTCTCTATACATATATAGATTTGTCGATTAAGCAGTAATCGAGGTTATGCGATTTTAATTTTCAGGGGCGTGGTTAGCGAGCGAGCGCTCAAGGGATAACCTAGTTTGCTTTCAATTCAATCTGCACATCAGAAATAAAAAGGCTCATCAAATTTTTTTTTTGTTATCCATATTTCCTTGGACATCATGAGCTTTGTACACTAAATTGCAGAGACGGCTTCAAGGTCAGGTGCAAGCAAGAGCCATGAAGTGACCGTTGTATCGCCATTCCTAAGTCCGTTTTTATATGCTTCAAACACCTCACACGATATTTACTAAATTTTTGCCAAAACTTCTAAATGTTCTGAATTGTAATAAGAAGTAAAGAACAACAGAAACAAAAGCAGGTTTAGACTCAAAATCCCGAAAAATATTCTAAAAATCTCTCCAAAACATCCTGAATATTGATCCCAGAAAATCTTCTAATATCTTGGATTTTTCCAAGCGAATTCTCAGCCTCTCCCACATTCCCTAGAAAAGAAAATTGCATGCAGATTTTGCACACTATTTAGTACTTTAATCACACATGAGGTACTGATCAGATTTGTTTATTATAACAAATCGTGCCTCTTTGATACACTTAGGCGGGGAATCATACCAGTATGGTATTTTGACTCGACTGCCACGCGCCAGTATAAAAGTTAGTTATGCATTCGAAACATACCAAAAATGTACGATAAGATGATCATACCGTGTCCAAATTCAGCCAACAATCCGGTGATATTATGAAAAGTTACGATAGTGAAATCTACCATGCGTCCTTCCGTCAATAACGAGAAATGTAACAAATTGTGGTAACAAAACATGTGTAAAATCCCTTTCTGCAAAACATGATGACGATTGAAAATGAGAAAATTACAATGTATACCTTAGTTTAAATATTACATTTTATGGAAACGAATATATAAGCTGAAAAAATTCAAATGTCCCATGGAACTCTTTGCAGCTTTAAAAACGTTCAGTTAAAGATACCAGAGGTTAAGTTTCTATTAATGGTGCATTCTCAAAAAAGACTAACTGCAGTAGAATTTAAAGAATTATGCAAATCTTTTGAGTTTAACACAACTGAGAGGATCGCCTGAATTTGAAGTCAAGGCTGGCTCTTGCCTATTCGAACACATTTACCTCCTTATCATTATTGAAATTGTCCTCTGTCTTTATTCAGGGGTTGAGGCGTAAGTGTGGAAGTTTGGAACACCGGGATATCCATTATCTGACCGTTCGAAGTTGTTTGAAAAAAATTTTGGTTGTTGCTTTTGAATGTTGGCATCTTTCCCTCTGATCCTCTGTGCCCTTAGTTCCTGTGGTCACCTGTATTCACTGTTCCTCTGTTTCTCTGTAGCCACTTTTCCTCTGATCCTCTATGCCCTTTGTTCCTCTGGTCCTCTGTGGTCACTATTTTTCTGGTCTACTGTACCCATTGTTCCTCTGGTCCTCTGTGGTCACTATTTCTCTGGTCCACTGTACCCACTGTTCCACTGTTCCACTGTTCCACTGTTCCACTGTTCCACTGTTCCACTGTTCCACTGTTCCACTGTTCCTTTGGTCTCTCTGTCCACTATTCCTCTAGTGTTCTGTACCCACTGTTTCTCTGGTCTTATGTGCCTACTGTTCCTCTCCTTCTTTGTACTTCCTTTGGTCCTTTATCCCTCACTCCTCTGCCAACAGTATACCTTTAAATATAAATTAATCAGATCCTGTATACGAGACACTGTCCCCGCAGTGCGACACAGACTTGCAGGTCAGCAGGAACTGCTTGCGAACAATGGATAAGATTTTTTAGCCTCATAAAATCTAAGACCCTCTAAATTCAATAATATCTTCCCGAAGAAAGTGACGATGTTTCAGGATTTAATGTTCATGTAAGAGTAGTTTTGAATGTTAAAGAAACAATCGTTCACACCGTTAGACGGACATCAACATGGCTGTTATTCTGCATAATCTCAACAGATCTCTCAACAAGTCAGGAAATCGAATTTGACCCCAATTGTTCAACGAATGAGGCTTTTTTAAATTCTTTTGTGTTTCCCAGAGATGTATCTTTATAGACTGAGAGACTAAAGTTGCTTTGGTGAATATTACCAACCTATTAAGAATAAGGTCGAATGGTTGTAATAAAGGGACGGGAAGGGGCGTGATGACTGACATTATATATTAGGCAAACTTTTACGTGTTCCACTGTAAAATGGTGTACACACCATGATTACATTGTCAATTCTAATGTTCGAGTTTCCGAAAGCCGTGGGGTTTTTTTGCCAATTATTTTCTGTTAGTGATGTTGAATTTTCCGCCAGTGACCGGCATGACCGACATGCTGCAAAAACTCGTAATACAAATTATCATCGAAAAGGTCATAAGTTTCAAAGCTGTGTATCTTAGAAGCTACGCTTTCCCCGCCTAAGTTTCACTGATACTTCGTTATCATCAAGAATATTTTTTTTTTCAGCATTTTAAGAGCTTATTTTGAGTAAGCTAATAACATTTGTCTTCAATTTTAAATCCCTATCTGCGGCTAAAGACGTCTTCACTCAACCAGAGTTGTTGGTTTATAAAAATGCGAGTTCAGGCTTAAAGTTCTTGGTAAATATTATCGACGAAGTGTAAGGGCTTGTAGAGGAAGGCGAGTTGACTGATCAACTGCAAAAGCTTAAGGCACCAGTTAATTTAATTTCAATTATTGTTGTTTCGCTCCAGCTGCTTTTCAAGTATCATGATCTTTACGTTATCCGGATTTCCGCTCCGTTGTTACATGTTACGCGAATCAGTCAACTAAATATATCCAAAAGATAAACTTTAGATCTACTTTATTTTGAAAGCCTGAAAATATGAGAGAAGTTAGAAATAATTTAAATATGGTAAGTGTATGAAGATAGAGGTTACATGTCGCGTGGTGTGACACTTAAGATCCACACAATGATTTGAAACGACAGATTGTATGATGCATACTTCATACTTTATTAAGTTTTTACGTTTATTCTTACCTTCATGTCATATGATCTTATCAATAAATTGTTATATTAACGTTAGTAACGATAGAAATCTCATTATTGGTTTAGTTAGGTGAAAGAAAGCACTCAAAGATTATTGCGAAAGAGAGACCATTTGGACCCGTGCATGAGTTATTCCTGCAAGGCAGATAACACGTTCCGACGACACGAGAAATTGACAGCACGTGGACACACAAAAACATGTCACAAGTACCAGAGACTACGCCTGTAGCAAAGGTCGTCACGCGAGAACTAAATTGGTCGACGATAACGCATAGAAGTACGTCATCAAAGGTCATTTAATAGAAGTCTGCTGTCGCAAATCTAATTGATAAGTTCGCGGACGTGATCTTAAATAGTCTCTTAGGGCTATGTTTAGAAACAAGGCTCTTAAAATAGAATGATTCTTTGACGTCAATGCGGAATCCACCTAGACACGATATGTTATATTAGCGGACCACAGTCGCCGTTTAAAGATAAACCAAAACAAACTAATGTACGCGTGAGACACATCTAAAATTCTTGAAAGGAGAAGATGAGCGAACTATTCAAATCAGGTATTAAGTATGCTACAATTGTGCACCTTTTTGTTGAGAACGTGACAAATTAAGAGGTTTTTCGAAAGCTTTAAAGGCGGTCTGAGTTTCGATATTCTGTCCCCGTACTACTTCATATCGTAATTATTGCGTAAAATCTCCGCAAATATACAAACCAACCAAGTGCGCAAAATCTTTCATTTTTTTTCCTCTTAATGATAAGTTTTATCTTCTTCCAAGGTAAACTAAACCAATTAGGTGGAGTGTTTGTGAACGGCAAGCCACTTCCAAACTCTGTTCGCCAACGAATTATCGAGATGGCTGAGCTCGGCATTCGCCCATGCGATATCAGTCGCCAACTGAAAGTTTCACATGGCTGCATCAGCAAGCTACTTGCTAAGTACAACGATACTGGGTCATTTGAGCCCGGGCGCGCTAAAAGAAAGACATCGAGAGATGTGAGCACCGAAGTGAGGAACAAAATTGAAGAATATCGCCGCGCAGCGCCAGGAATCTTCTCTTGGGAAGTTAAAGAAAAGTTGGTAGCCGATGGTTTGTGTACGAAAGAAACTTTGCCGCCTCTTACCGTGATTAGCAGGTTGCTACGACGCGTGAGATCCACGGGCAGTGACACTGAGATATCACCTGTTGCTGCCAAGGATGTGGAAATGGACTGCTCCAAAGAAAACGAGCACCGGAAGAACTTTACTGTTTTTTCAATAGACAATATCCTCATGGAAAAAGAGAAATGGGAAACACACGAAGAAAAGGTAGACACTGGAGAGATGATTACTACCAAAGTGATTGAACTTGGTAAGCAATATCATTCATCAGTTCAATACTTATTGCGATAAAAGTAGATATTTGTCTTCTGTCAAAGTAGTTGACCTTGGTAAGTAAAATTATTCATCAATTTAATACTTATTGCGATAGAAGTAGATATTTGCCTTCTGGAATCCTACATCACTTAAAGATAATCTTGAACTTAAGGAAACATCCACTTGTTTTATGTTTTCTAGGATGCACTGTCACCGATTCGGTTCTAAATGACTTACCAAGTCCAGCAAGCAATAACTGCAACAACAACGGCCATAATGCAGTAAGGTTGTATCAGCGGAGAAACAGAACCAAGTTTACGTCTGACCAAATTGAAGAGCTCACAAAAGCTTTTGAGAAAACTCGCTATCCAGATGCTCTAACACGAGAGGAACTTGCCGAGAGACTTCGTATAAGTGAATCCAAGATTCAGGTGAGAAACCTTGCTTATTGAATCAATTTTAACTATATGATACAAGGTTTGCAAGACCAGATAACCACTTTTTATCGGTTCCTTAAAACATATAATCTCACAGACTTCACCGGACCATTCAACTGTAACACTATACTGAAAAAAGGGATTTTTGGCAAAGACACTACCATTAAATTAAGAAGGTTAAAAGAGAGGTGGGGGGGGGGGGGGGGGAAGGATGGCCGGAAAAATTGTCGCTGTATGAGATGTAATCTGAAAGCAAAATATTTATTACAGTTGTTTTTCTATTTTTTTATAGGTTTGGTTTTCGAACCATCGCTCCAAATCTAAAATAAAAAAATCTCATAGGGCAGAAGTTGAGATGGACGTAAATGCAGTACCAACGACCAAGACGGGTATTTTCTATCCATCATATCCTATGGTACCTGTGATACGTTACGGGCCGTATATTCAGGCGACTCGTGTTTGTCCCTACATTTGTTACAAGCCACTTCAAATGGCTTCGCGCTAGCTAAAAATTTTAATGTTTATTTTTGTAATTTTTTCATCGAACTTACCATATTGCATGGAACAATACTGGTCGGAACTCGTATCATTTATTTGACAGTTTGTCACCTCATACAGAGTCCGTTCGTCGGATGAATTTTGTTAACCTGTATTAAACAGAATTCACACTTGCTTTAAGTTTGCACTTTTCACTTCATAGTTGTATACCTTATCTACCTAATGTCTTTTTGAAAATAATAAACTTTTCAACGTTTGATCTCAAATTTTACAGTACCAAATTGTCAATAAAGTTCACGGTTTAGTAATTTATTCATTTGGAATAAATATTATAAATACATTCATTTAGGTTATTGCCCACCATACTCATTGATCCCAATTTTCTATGTCCGTTTGAAACTACATTACAAGCACTCTCAAGGATGACAGCGTGCTGGTTAGGTTCGCTATCGAAAGCCATATACATAATCTATTTTTCGAGCCTTAGGGAAACGATTACAGCTCCTATTTCTTAATAAATCAATCGTAAATATATCAACCACACTAACGAATGAAATTTTCAATTTGGTTCAACTTGAGGTTCCTTTAACCCTATAATAGAGTTTTAACCAATTTTTTCTTGGAGAGGATATGCTTTCTTCATTATCGTAGTCGATAAGATGTATTTTTCAAACAATAATTTTCTGGTCTTGTAATTTTCTGAGACTACTGGATTTGGTAAGGTCTGTACTGAGGTAGATGAAATCGGTTGGATACAACGTCAGGATTACACACTCTCATCAACGGTTTTTACACACTTACAGTGGTTGGAAATCTCTGTATCATCATCTCATTCCTTTTTTTTTTTCATGATTCAGAACAGGTATATATTAAAAATGCATATGGTTTTTACGCTTATTTCTTTAGAAAGGCTTCATTGTACTAAACATTTCACTTTTGACTCCTTCTGTTGTGCTTGGGAAACCGTTCATTTTCTCGGATGGTAAAATCAAAAATAAAAATGCATAAGTACCTTGTAACACCAGCCATCACTCGTCACTGTTGTACTCTTACGGCTGAGGCCGATATTTTCTTCTTATATTTGCCATGTGCCGCACGACTATTCTATGTTCTCTCCGCAACGAAAATTTGATTGCCAGAATAGCGAGCCCTGAAATTTGGTCGAGTCACTACTAGCGCTATTCACTTCCCCATACTAAAGAAACTAATAAAAGAGCAAACGTTTACCGTTTCACCGATCTTATTGAAACAAACGTCAGTTGCACTAATCATTGCTCAAGACGCACTCTTGAACGATTAAAAAAGCCGTTTGTATCTATACTCAGTATTTCGATCATTGCTCTACACAACTTTATCCGAATGACGGGTAAGCCTGGGATCGCTGATCTGAGATTTTAATGACCACCACACACTTTTGCAATCGCTTTGTTTTCGTTAAGGGTACAATAGGAAGATTTAGGCAACGTTCATACAACAGTTGTTTTTTAAACTAGGTATATCTAAAAACATTTGCAAATTAACGCCCAGCCGTCACGTTCAGCTGTCTAATGATGTTCTGAAAATACTCCACGTCACCGGTAAACAAATGTAGTCGTCACGAATAAAAAGAAATAAGAGAGGAATATACCTGAATAAAATGTAAACGGGCTTGTTAGACTGCAAAGTAAGCGGTCACTGGCAGACGTTGCTTTTGCGTTTCATTCTTGTGCAATAATTTTACCCAACCTTAGGTTTTAAGGTGAAGTGGTTGTACCACTGTCTATTGGGTAGTAGGGACTACAAGTTCCTAGAAGCATCAAGACAGTTCTGGGTCACATGGGTTTGTGGAGTATCCAATGAACCCATGTAAGCCAAATGAAGACAAACTTTTCTGTTATTAAGTAAGTTCCGCCTGAAGAACAGAGTTAAATTTGTACGCCCTCCAACATTGTCATCAACATTGATGACAATGGCAACTTAAACCTCGGCTAATAATTGTCTGTGGAGCTCTTAAACAACGTTAACAACAATGTTTCATTTCAGTGACAAAGATAATAATATCGTTGTCAACACATTTCGCAATCGATTCAACCACCTTCAACTTCCTGAGGAATATATCATGCTATACGGTATTGTTTACAAACTTGCACCTGTACCATTCTCGCGTTAATTTTTAAAGGTAAACTTAAAATTCGAAGAAAAAATTTACGAGACTAACTATTTCGGATGTTTAAAGGATTATAAAACTATTTCTTGGTTTAATTAATTTAGTGAATAGAGCAGATCTGGCGTAGAATCGGCAGAATGAGGGGGCGTTTAAGAAACTTAACAAGTAACAGGAAGTCATACTTCACGCTACGCGCTGGAGCCTATTGTGAATAATATTGCGAAATATGTAGATCAGACTTCCTGGGTTCATCAATTTTTCATCTTAAACATCAAGCGTCCGCATATCATTAGGGGTTCTGCGTAAGGAAAATATTCTTTTCCCTAACAAGATTTCGCGTAAACTTGAAATTGGATATAAAACTTAGAGGAACGATATGATATTTTGAGAAACCGTCCCCACATTTTTTACATAGTTCCTCTGACATACCGTCACTTGGAAGTCGTGATTTCCGCTGACAGTGACCTTGAGAGAACATGTATACTTTTCTTTTCCTTCCGACCGCGGGGTCATGTTTTATAACCACATTCAATAATTAGATTCGTTGAGCCCGCAATTTCTGCAATTATTTCAGAACGAATCTCCCTCCCTCTAAAAACGAAAAAAGAAAAAAAAAAGTAAATGTCGCGTGTTTTGTCTGTTCTGATTTGCTTTCATGTTTCGTAAACTCTACTGACTGCCACGATCGCTTTCCTATCACCGGAAGCCGACCTCAGTGAGTTCGCGTGACTTTGAAACTCTCGAGAGAGATAAAATTTGCATTTGCAGCCTAGTTTGTATTGCCCCTTAGGGCGTTCCATTGAACGTCACGCTAACTCAATCGCACGTGAACAGCAAATGGTTTACAATTACAGGATAATACAAAGTGCAACAGACTATCCCGTCAAAACAAAATAATTATCACTCTGTAATATGCGAGGCGGTCGAGCTCGTGCCACGCTGTAATGCGCACGGGACAATGGCTATACTAGACTTAAGCGTATTTTCCTTCCAGTCTGGAAAGCATTAAGAGAGGTTTTCCTTGATCACCTGGGATGTAAATAATGTTCTCTTCGAGAAAGGAACCTTGTGGTTCGTCGATGAAATACAACTTCTACGTCACTAAATTTTCAATTCAAAGTAGTTCAGATATCATAGAATCGACATATCCGTTTCATATTCCTAAACTGCCGGTCTAGAATGATTCCATGCATTCCATGAGCTTGACAAATAATGATCCCTTGTTATCATCTTTGGTGTTCGTCCTCTGCCATGGCAAAAATTGCTATTCACATTTTAACTTCTTAAAACGTTTTTTTTTTTTTAATTTCCTTGCAGCTTAACTGCGCAAGTACCTTAACGCCCACGTTCAACTCTCTTGAAATACATTCGTAACGAAAACTAATAAATTTCTAGTTTATGCAGTAGGATCAGAAATGAGATCCGTCGTCAGAACTGTGGTAAATTGCATTTCACTGATGTTAAAGAACTATAAAATACATTTTCACTTCACAGTTAAAAACCTTCGCTTCTCTTAGCTACAGCGAGACAGCATACGCAAATGAAAATTTATCTTGTTATATTATAGGTAGGTATTTTTTGATTTCGTAGATTTAAATAATACAAAGATGCATGTTGCGGCTTCGAAATTCACAGCGGAAGTAGAGGCCAAGTGTAAACAGCCCGTACAGACGATTTATTCACGATCACGTAGTAGGAAAGCAGTACTTGTCTTTGTTTTGACCACTGACGTCAAACGCTCTCCCCGCCCACACTGTATCTTATAACTTACTAAGCTTCAGTCACACACTAGGTAATCGGACTCAAAGCGCCGCATCTTGGCAAGTTAAACGGGCAGAAAAGCCAAAAACACCCCTTCGTCTTTGTTTTAGGAGCAGAATTTGCCATTTTCAACCAAGCAGAGGATTATGGAATACAAGGATATAACCTCCACAGCAGGCATGTTTAATTCTGTTTATGTTAAGCTTCACTTCTATCAGTAACGATTAACCACGTATACCGGGCGTCCTAAAAGCCCGTTACGAATGGTAACTTGGCCTTCGGTGTACTCAGCCAAACACATGAATTTTTCTTAATCGAAAGCATGGTCAAGAATCGATTAACCAAATGGCCGGTAGCTATGTAAAGTCCGTACAGTTACATAGATATGGTGAATTTAGGTATAACGGAATAACTTACGCATGGAGATAATGATAATGATTATAAAAACAAAACAGGAAAAGGAAAAAGTCGCATTTGTTTGAAATGCTGCTATAAAATTTGCCTTTATCTAAGCTTCTAAGGACCAGCCATACTCAATACGTTCACAGTTAGCCAATGGACATTATTTAAACGAAGGAAATGAACATATCCTTTCTGATTGCCATGCCTCGTGTCTCGCAAAAGAGGAACGCGAACACTCATCTTAGCAATTATTACAATTTTTTCACATGTAGCCAACCCTCGAATAAATACACTCATTTATACGACCACTTAGTTCCAGCCCTGCTCAGCTTGGAGAAACGAATATAAGTCGAGGATATAGTTTACGACAAAAACGCATCACTTGTTAGACTTTATCGAGACACCAAACAACTGCAAGTCGTCAGGCATCCTAGCGGAACTATCGATTTCTTAACCATTTTTTTAATGTTACTTTAGGTCATGGAAAGTTCAACCAGCTAGGTGGAGTTTTTGTAAATGGAAAACCACTTCCAAACTCTGTTCGTCAAAGAATTATCGAGATGGCTGAGCTCGGCATCCGCCCATGCGATATCAGTCGCCAACTGAAAGTTTCTCATGGCTGCATCAGCAAGCTACTTTCTAAATACAACGATACTGGGTCTTTTGAGCCCGGGCGCGCACAGAGAAAGACATCGAGAGATGTGAGCACCGAAGTAAAGAACAAAATTGAGGAATATCGCCGTGCAGCACCAGGAATCTTCTCTTGGGAAGTTAAAGAAAAGCTGGTTGCCGACGGTTTGTGTACAAAAGAAACTCTGCCACCACTGACAGTTATTAGCAGAATGTTGAGAAGGGTAAAGTCAACTGGAAGCGACTATATGGACAAGTCTGAAGCAGAAAACAGTGATGTAGAAAGTGAGGGCGACACTTCAAGCAACGACAATGGTAGTTCAGGAGAAGCTAAACCTAGGCCGAAGAGAAGATCTTTCTCCATT